AAATTGATTCAAGAAAGGTTGAACACAGCACAGAGTCATTAGATATCTTACACTGATGTTAGGAGGAGGGGGTTAGAGTTTGAAGTAGATGATTGAGTTTACTTGAAAGTTTCAACCATGAAGACTGTTATGAGATTTGGTAAGAAGGGGAAGCTTAGTCCACGGTATATTATTGTCCTTACAGAATATCCAAGAGGATTGGCAATGTAGCTTATAAGTTAGACCTACCACAAGAATTAGCAGCAGTCCATTCGGTGTTCCACATCTCCATGTTGAAGAAGTGCATGAGAGATTTCTTTCACTTATCATACTAACTGAAGATATTGGTATCAAGTATAGCGTATCTTATGAAGAGATTCCACTTCAGATTCTAGATCTCCAAGCTCGCAAGTTGAGAACAAAAGAGGTAGCATCAGTCAAAGTTCTTTGGAGGAACTAGTTTGTTGAGGAAGCTACTTGGGAAGTTGAGGAGGATATGAAGAAGAGATATCCACATCTCTTCGAATCCGGAGAAGTTCCAACTTAAGGTACTGAACCTTTTCTTGGATTTTATTTATAAGATTAGCATGTTGTAATTGCATTGCTTGTTGGGTGTTTGAGCTGAATGTTAAATATTACACCCTTAGCCTACTAAGAGTAATCTCATTCGAGGACGACTGTTTCCAAGGGGGAGATATTGTAACATCTCGCAATTTGAAATAACTAGGAAGAAGCTTATAATTGGAAATAGTCATTTTTGGAAAGAATGAAAATCTGGAAATTTTGTAAAGTTAAAATAAGTTGAGTTTAGGTCAACTTCAAACGGCCATAAATTCTAGCTCAGGATGAGTTAGGTGTATTTACAGGTATTTTTGGAAAGCTCTTGGAATAATATTTCCAACACCGCTAAGTTTGCCCGATTCTGAGTTTGTATGAGTGAGATAGGCCCTTTGGAAGTTGGGTTGTTCAAATAAGGAAATGTCCGATCCGTATTTTTAAAGGGTGTTTTGGTCATTTCCATACCTTATTATTTTAATTCATTTTTGGTAAATTAATTAACAGTCAAAACTGAATTGGTTCAGTTTAGACAATTGGAAATTTACGCTAGGGTTTTTGGAGAAAGAACGCAAGAGGAGAAAAGAGATGAAAGAGAAAAGTTCGCCGTTCTCGAAGGTTCAGCTTGTGGATTTCAACAAGGGTTGATCCCTAAAGAGGTATGTGAGTTCACACAGCATTGGGTTCATTCACCCACGTGCCAAACATGTTTTATTCATTGTAATTTCGTCCTAAAAAGATTAAGAATTTGATACTCTTGAGTTGTATTCTTGAATTGCTTTCGTTTCTCAAATTTGGGATGAGATTGAGGAGTTCTTGAGAGTTCAAGATTGATTATTAGTATTGATTTGAGTTAGATTCTTCTGTACATGTTGTGGGTACCTGAATCTAAAGAGATATGGAGAAAAAGAATAGAAATTAGGCGAATTGGGGCTAGAAAACGAAGAAGAAAAATGTAGGGCAAATCTAGAGCCCCAAGCCGCGTCGCGAACCTGCACCATACTTTCGCAAAAATTTTCCTCGTGTCGCGGAGTGGTCACGGACCGTTCAGCCTCAAAAAGTATTCTCCGTGACAAAAATTTAAATACACCTCCATGTCGTGGACCCACCCTCAAACACTAATTTCTTGATCATTTCTCATATATAGCCATCTAAAATCATTCCTAAACATCATGAGATCTTTCCTATCACAAATCACAATCCTTGAATCCATAATTCAATTCAAGGAAAGCTAAGATTCAAGTCAAGAGAAGTTAAGAATCAAGTCAAGAGAAGTTAATAGTCAAGTTAAGAGAAGTTCATAAAGTTTTTCAAAAGTCTTTTTCAAATGTTTTAAGACTTAAGTTTTGAGTTGAGTAAAGACTACAGTTTGAAGTGCATTTATTCAAAAGAGTATATCGGGACGATGTATTCCCAAGGAGTAAATGTTTTCACATTTGAGCAACAAAGGAAACTGAGATTTTCAAAAGAGTCTCTGAGCTAGTTTTCAATAAAGAGTAAGAGTAGAGTTCATTCTTCAAAGATTATTAGGGAACTAAGTATTTCCAAGAGTTAAAATATTTTCACATTTGAGCAAGAAAGGAAACTGAGATTTCCAACAGAGCTTTTAAGCTATGTTTTTGAATAATTATCTCAAAGCAAAGAAAGAGTTTTGTTTTTACAAACATATGAGCTAAATTATATTTTTGGAGTAGTATTGAGCACCGATATGGGGACGAGCTTGAGTTCAGATAACTCACGTCTCTGTAAACCATTTAGCCATCATGGGTAGTAAAGCATCATACTTTTTAGATGACTCTTTAAGATGCTTTTAGCATAAGCTAGTGGATCCACTAAGTTAAGCGTTCTATATGATGACAAAGTATAGGACAGTTCTAGCAGCGTGGGCAAGACGTTGTATCACCACTTAGGCTCATAGTGGTGGTTGTCGGTTAGAGAAACTCCCACAGAAACTATATTACTTTATTATATGAGTAAACTTGAGTTTATTATTGCATTTTCTTTAACAAACTAAGTTGTTTTCTACTGTTTTAAAAGCTTTCTATATATTGCATGTGTTTTATTGCTTTATATTGAGTTAAGCTATTCAGGAGCTGAGTAAAGCCAAGGTAAGTGGTTCTTTCAGATTCTTTTCAAGCTTAAGTTATGTTTAGCATTCCAACTCGCATACTCGTACATTCAATGTACTGATGCCAGTTGGCCTGCATCTTATTATGATGTAGACGCAGGTAATCAGGATCAGCATACAGCGCCTCGTTGATCCAGTTGAGCACTCAGAGTCTGGTGGTGAGCCTCCTTGCTTTTCGGAGGATCCCTTTTATTATTTTCAGTATTTAGTTCATTAGGATGTTGTGGGTCTTGTCCCAACATTCATCTCAGTTATTAGAAGCTTCCAGTCAGTTAGTTCATTTGTATTTATCTTGTTATTGACTTATGTACAGTTTTGAGTTGCCACTTCAGCTAAGTTAAATGCTTATTTCTAAAACAGTATGAGTTTAGTTTGAGACTGTTTAGTTATCTTGCATTTGAGTTCTTTTCTTAATGCTTAAAGTCTTATGTTGAGTAAGTAAGTCAGGCCAAGGATTCGCTTGGGGCCAGCAATGGTTCTCGAGTGCCAGCCACGTCCGGGGTGTAGGCTCGGGCCATGACAGAACCGAAGTCAAGAAAGCTAATTAACCAATTCTTTTCCCTTCTTCAATGTCTTAGAATATTCTCAATCTATCAAGTAAGCATAATTCATGAGTAAACGAGTCCATACACATTTATATTGCTATATTTATAGCCTAGATGTCAAAAATCATCGAGCAAAAATCTATGATCAAGTTCCTAATCTTGATGTCAATTAATATATCAACTATCATATTTCTCTAATTCAAGCCCCGGATTAAATTTTATTTCCTTCAAATAACATCAATCTAATGGTGTCTATATAACATGATACACCTTATAGAAAATTTCATACACAAATATATCAAAACTTGAGTTATAATATGATAACTTTAATATTAAAGTTGAGTCATGTAAACTAAGACTTAACCACGAAATCAATAACTAAACCACAAATAATACACAGAAATTGCCTTATAAATGATTCATTCGTATCATCTCACCCCGGAATGATTAGCTTATAATAACTGCCTAGAGATTTGCTTTATAATGACCACTAAAGCCTCATTGAGAACTCCACTATAATGCTCCATCATACGATTACAAAAACAACCATAAGTTTCTCAAAAATTTGAAGTTTCCATATAATTTCTCTATCAAAAACTACCTAATCATGATTTGTTATTTACATTGTGGTCATTATTAATTGATAACAATATAAAAGAAAATAAATGGAAAGGACTATGAAAGGGTATACAATACCAGGAGTTGCTTCCTTCGATGTGCGGCGTCGCTTTTATCTTTCTGTTTTTTTCTTTCTTTCTCAAATTAAGATCTAAAAATATTAAACCAACTAACTTATTCCAATATATGTGGTACAAGTGTTATATAGTACTCAACAAATTATCAATTTAGCCCATTAATTATCTAAAATTACCCATCAACAAATTAATCGTAGTTAATAAATAGTTCAAAATTCCCATTTAAAATTTATGAGAAGAGTCAATATAGTTCTAGTGCTCAAAATGACCTAACAGGTGATTACATTAGATCTCAATTTACCCATCGTTCGTCTCGAATGGTCAAAAGAAAGGCTAGGGTAAGAATAGGTACTCAACTCAACAAAAATGTGGATATCTTCTGTGCATATAAGCCTGAGTTTTTCAAGTGGACTCTTCAACCAATTGATTCTTCCACTGGACCTTCACAGATGAAATCTTTTGACCTTAACTTGCGAACCTCCCTATCTAGAATAGCCATATGCTCCTCCTCATAAGCCAAATTTTCATTAAGCAGGACCAAATCCCAATGAATAATGTAGTTCCCATCACCATGATACTTCTCCATTATAGACACATGAAACACTGAGTGAGCTCCTTACAAACCTAGAGGCAAAGCCAATTCATAGACCACCTCTCCCACACGCTTAATAATTTCAAACTACCCAATATACCCTGAACTAAGTTTACCTCGCTTACCAGACCTTACTACTCTCTTCATGGATGAAACCTTCATCAACACTTTCTCTCCCTCCATAAACTGCAAGTCCTTGACCTTCATGTATGCATACTCCCTTTGCCTGCTATGAGTTGCTAGAAGGTTTTCCCGAATTAATTTCACTTTCTCTAATGATTCCCTCATAATATTAGTACCTCAAGGTCTCGTGTCAAATGAAACCAACCAAAAGAAGACATATGTCTCCTTCCATACAAGGGCTTCGATAGAGCCATGTCAATACTCCAGTGATAATTATTGTTTTACGAAAACTATGCCAACTTTAGGAATTGATCCCAATAACCACCAAAATCTATCTCATATGCACAAATCATATCCTCCAACACTTGAATTGTCTGTTCAAACTATCCATCGATCAGAGGATGAAATGCAGTACTAAGATCCAATCTAGTACCTAACTCAGTCTGCAATGTCCTCCAGATGTTAGAAGTAAATTGCATACCCCTATTTGATATGATGGAAACTGAAACTCCATGCAATAGAAAAATCTCCTGGATATAGAGTTTGGCTAACTTCTCTGCATTATAAGTCACCTTGAGCGGAATAAAGTGTGCAAACTTAGTTAACTTGTCAACAATCACCCAGATCCAATCAAACTTACCAATGTCTTTGGAAGACATACCACAAACTCCATTGCAATCCTATTCCACTTCCAATCAGGAATGGGCATTCTTCCAAGTGTCCTTCCAGCCTCTGGTTCTCGTTCTTTACCTGCTAACAATTCAGACATTAGGCAACAAAATCATCAATGCCATGAATCAATCTACTCCACCAATAATGTTCTCTTATATCATGATACAGCTTGGTTGCACTTGAATGTATAGAATACCTCGAACTATGATCCTCTACAAGAATAGTCTTGAGTAAAATCATCACCAAGGGGCACACATACCGCCCCTTAATCCTCAAGACGCTTTCCTCATCAACCATAAACTTCTTGGCTTCTCCTCGCAGGACCATATCACAAATCCAACTCAGCTTCTCATCATCAAGCTGCTCTAAATCGAAAGTAGAAAATCAATTGAACATGAATATCAAAAGAGCAAGATCTGATAGAGATGGCGAATATACTTTGCATAATGATTTTTGTGAAAAAAGAAGGGATTATTCATGAAGTTACTCCTCCATACTCACCGAAATCGTAGTTAAAAGAAAAAATAGAACTTTAAAAGAAATAATGAATTGTATGCTTATTAGTTCATATGCATCTGATAATATTTTGGGTGAAGCTATTTTATTTGTTTGTCATCTACAAAATAGAATTCCTTACCAGAGAATTGAAAAAACCCCTTATGAATTGTGGAAAGATTATCCCCCTAATTTGAAATACTTGAAAGTATGGGGTGATTTACCAAGGTTATGTTGTTTGACCCCAAGAAAAGAAAATTTAGTGTCCAGGATTCTAATATATGTTTATTGATTATGCTAATAATAGTGTTGCATATAGATTTCTTGTATCAGTAGTGATATTATTGAACACAATACTATAGTTGAAATAAAAAATGTTGAGTTTTTTTAGAATATGTTTCCTTTAAAACGTGATAATATCTCTCATGATTTTACTTTTCAAAAGGAAAATACTTCTAGTGTTCCAATTTTTCAAAATGGTTCTGAAAGTGATCAAGAATTGAGAAGAAGTAGAAGGTCAAGGATAGAAAAATATTTTGCTGATGACTTTTATAGTTATATTATTGATAATGATCCTTTAACTTTTTCCGAAGCAATTTCTTCTAGAAGCCATTAAATATGAAATAAATTTTATTTTACAAAATAATACTTGGAAGTTAGTTGATTTACCCCCGGGAACTATACTCATTGATTGTAATGGGTTTTTAGAAGAAAATATTTTCCTGATGGTTCTATTGATAAGCTTAAATATAGACACTTGTAGCTAAAGGATTTACCCTAAAATTAAAAAAAATGATTATTTTGACACTTATACTCCAGTGACTACAATTTCGATTATTCGTGTTTTATTTGCTTTGGCATCTATTGATAAATGATTTATTCACCAAATAAATGTTGAACCCGCATTTTTAAACGATGATTTAGAAGAAGAAATATCTATGGACTAACCTGAAGGTTTTTTTTTTATAATCAAATAATAAGCTTATAGCTCTTTTATTGAGTGACAATAAAACAGTACAAAACTTGGCCAAAATGGCCCAAACTAAATAAATGTACCCGACCCAGATGGCCCAATCCAAAATGCCCCCAAATATCTAAATTCCTATCCACTAGCTTTCCAAAATTGTCTTCCTTCATTTTTGTGTTCTTGTCTCAGATGTGAATTATGTTGAGCTTCCATCAGCTCCTTGTTCCATTTGCTTTGGGTCAACGATGCCTTCAACTCTTCCATTAGTAACAACTCAGCTTATCAAGGTAACTCTCTTCCTCTACTCTTTGAAACATCCTATTTTGCTTGTTGTCTGCTGAGCACTTATTTATTGATTGTCTTGATTTTCAGAATCACTTTTACAGCATTGCTTCATTATGATCAGGTAAACCTCTCTACTTTCTTCCCGTCTCTTCTCTTTCTTCAATTTCATTGATCTTTTATTCTTTTAGCAGCTGAAACGTTAGGTCCTTCGTCCATGGTCGTCTTCACCACTCCAGGTTCTCAACTCCCAATCTGACTTTGTTGCTCTCATCTCATGCTCATAACACTTTCTATAAACTGTAATAGTTTAGCACAGATATCCTAGTACATTTAAATCTCTCTCTTTTGTAATCCCTTCTGTGGCAACAGATTCTTTGAATGTTTTAACTTTGTACACTGTCATGATTATTCTGCTGCACTTTTATTCTTCTTGTTTTTATTCTCAAAGTAGGGATACCTGATTTATCTGCATTTAAAATACTCTTGCATTCACCTGATAACTGTTGAAACTTCTCCCATTGCTTTAGACCAGTGTGCGTATATGCTTCATTGACCAACTTGTCTGCTAGCTGATTAGCTTCTCTAAAAACATGTGTAATATCTGCTTGTATGTTCTCTATAATTTCCTGAATCTCTTCCATCTCCTCTTCCTGATTCCATGGAATTTTCCACTCATTTCTTATCATTTTTATGACCCCCAGTGAATCTGTCTCAATCAACACTTTGTTGATTTTCTTAATTTTACAGTATCTGAGGGCTTTTAGGATTGCCACTATTTCTGCCTCCATATTAGTCCTTATGCCAATCTTACATGCTTCTGCATACATCAGATTTCGTCACGATTTCAGTCCCCGCTAAAGCAATTGTGTCTGGTCTCCATTCATAAATAACATTTTTGCATATTCGCAGGACTAGTTCGACTGACTCTACACCTACTGCACGCACGGGTCTGCCAGATTTCTAACACAAAAACTATATGCACTTTCCCCCGGATTTCCTCTACTTGCTCCATCCATGTTGCACTTTACTCCCCCCTCTTGAGGCAGTCCCCAACACACAATATGATAGTGTAACTTAGGTCTGTACTCCTTCATAACCCCTAACATTCCTTCCCAATTTCTTGGGATCTGAATCCAAGGGTAAAGATGTTTAATCAGCTTGTACACAGTGTCTTGACATTGTTGATGCAGCTTATAATAGGACACCTCATTCCCATGTCTTCTAGCATTTCTCCTCTTCCAAAGCACCCACATAATAATGGCAGGAATTGCTTGTAATATTGACCTCATCTTTGACTTATTCGATGCTCCCCACCAATTAGTAATTATCTGTTGTAGGCTTCCCTCCATGCTAATTCCTGCACAAGTAGCAAATTGCTTTCATAGTTTCTGAGCTATGGAAGCTGTTAGGAAAATATGGTTCATAGTTTCCTGGTCATAGTCCTCACAACAATAACATCTGGATGCCACATTAATCTTCATATTTTTCAGATTGTCATCTGTAGCTATTCTCCCCTTCCAACACCTCCATACAAAGAAACTAATCTTGAAAGGAATTTCGTTACACCATATCTTACTCCACCACCAATTAACTTCTTTCTTATGTCTAGTCCTTTCAAACGCTGACTTTACAGTGAAATTCCCACTCGAACTTCCCATCCACCATGTTTTATTTCACTCTCGAACTTCCCATCCACCATGTTTTATTTCACTCTCAAACTTCCCATCCACCATGTTTTATCCTTTTTACCTTCTATAATCCTAGGGACAAAACTTTCCACAATGAATTGGACCATCTCTTCTGATAGCATACTTCTCAACCTTTGGATGTTCCAACTCCCCTGCTCTATCAGCTCCCGAACTTCTATTTCATCATCAATCTCTCCCTTCTCCTCTATATAATAAAGTGCTCCCAATTTTGTCCAATTATCAAACCAAAAACTCACCTCTCCAGCCTTTATTTGCCACCATATGTCATGCTCTATCTCATCTCTTACCTGAATCATCTTCTTCCAAGCATGTGAAGCTCCTATGCTTTTAATCATTAGAGGATGAAACTTCTTGCAGTATTTACTCCACATTAAAGAGCTCCATAATGAAGTGGAAGTTCGAAAGTTCCGCCATAGTTTACAGAATAATGCTTTGGTAACATCATGTATAGATCGAAAACCCACACCTCCTTCAGCCCTAGGAAAACACATGTCTTCCCATGCTACCCAATACTTTCCTTGCTCCCCACCTGTTTTGCTCCAGAAAAAACCAGCAAACAGTTTATGCAACTTCTCAATGACTCTCTTTGGAGGGTTCATCGCTGATAACAAATAAATTGGCATTGACTGAAGCACATTTGCTATCAAGATGTACTTTCCTCCATATGACAACCACTTGTTCTGCCACATGATTAGTCTACTCTGCACCTTCTTCACCAATTCTTCAAAGTGTGAAACCCTTTTTCTTCCATAAAAAATTGGGCAGCCTAGATAAATAAATGGGAACGAGCCCTGCTTTATACCTGCAATTCTCCTTAATCTCATCCCAACAATTAACGGTGTATCATCATGCAGATAAAAGAAAATTTTATTTAAGTTGACCATCTGTCCGAAAATATTTTCATATCTCCTCAACACTCCCATCATCTTACGAATAGACTTTCTCTCCCCTGAGCAAAAAAGTATTGTATCATCTGCATATGACAAATGATTAAAGGGAGGACTCCATTTTGGCATTCCATAACCCCTTAAATCTACATCTTCATTAAGATTATTTAACCCCCTGGCTAAAACTTCAGCAGCTATTATGAACAATGTTGGAGATAAAGGATCTCCTTGTTTGAGCCCTCTTGTCGACTTAAAAAAACCATATGACTTTCCATTAACTAATATTGAATACCAGTTATTCGAAATTAGCCTCCACACTATATCAATAATGATTTCAGAAAATTCAAAGCTCCTTAGCACTTTAATTAAAAAGAACCAAGAGACCCTATCATAAGCTTTTGCCATGTCCAACTTTACTACCACATTGTGATATTTCTTCCTCCTATTTATATCCCTTATTATCTCCTGAGCTAATAGAACATTTTCTGTAATGCTTCTCCCTTTAATAAAACCTGACCGGTTCCTTGAAATAATATTGGGTAACCTTTTCGAAATCCTTTCATGCAACACTCGAGAGATGATTTTATTTGCAAACGTAGTTAAACTCACTGGTCTAAGATCTGTGAAGTTTACAACTCTCTCCTTTTTTGGGAGTAACACCAAATTCGTGTGAGAAATAAAATGAGGAATCTGCTTACCACAAAAAAAGGCCTTCACCATTTTGGTAATATCCTCACCTATAAGTTCCCAGCAACATTGGAAGAATAATCTTGAGAAACCATCTGGGCCGCTTGTAGTATCTCCGTTCAAAGCGAAGACTACCATCTTGACTTCTTCCTTAGTTGGCATATGAACCATTTCCTCATTTTGACTAGGGGTAATCAATTTGGGAATAAGCCTCAACAAATTCTCATCTTCACTTGTTCCTTCTTCTCTGAACTGCCCTTCAAAATAAGAGATTGTCGTTGTGCCAATCTCATCGCTGCTATTCACTACATCACATTGTTCCGTTTGAATTTCCGCCAGGTGCAGGTTTTTTCTTCTTCCTTTGACATAATTATGGAAAAATCTAGTATTCTTGTCCTCATCCTGAAACCATCTCATCCCAGCTTTTTGTTTCTAAAATTCCTCTTCCAAGTAGAGAAATTTTTTTAACTTAGCTTCTGACCTTTTCAAATCTGCCTTATTTTCTTCATTTGTATTAATCTCCAATTGTATCTCCTTGACCTTGACTTCATCCTCCAAGGTTGCAACCTTCTGGAATATGTTTCCAAAAGTAACCTTGCTCCATTTCGCCGGCACCCCTTTCACTTATTTCATTTTCGCCTGAAATTCAATAAACGGGCAGCCCACAAAATCAATTTTCCAGTTTTCCTCAATAATCTGTTGAAATTGGGGATGCCTTGTCTAGAAATTGAGAAACTTAAAAGGTCTGCTTGTCACTTCCTCCTCCGAATTACATATGACATGTAAAGGTGCGTGATCCGAACCTTGTCTCACTAAATTATGAACTTCACTAGTAGGTAACATATTGTTAAACTCCTGATTTCCGAAGACTCTGTCAAGTCTCTTAAAAATACTGTCTCTTTCAATTCTACCATTCCACCAAGTAAACATGCTACCTACAAACTTAAGTTTTGTTAGAGCACAATTATTAATGCATTGACTGAAATCCAAAGCCTCAAACTGAGTAAAATCTAATCCCCCAAGTTTTTCCTCCTCATTCAAAATAACATTGAAATCTCCTCCCACCATCTAAGGTATATTAATATTAGCAGATAAAGCCTCCAGTTCTTCCCACAACTCCAATCTTTCTAATACATCACACCTAGCATACACTGCAGTACAAATCATCTCCATATTGTTTTTGCTCAACTTCAAACTTATTTGTTGTATACTATCACTCACCACTTCACCCCTCCAACCATCATCCCAAAAAACCCAAATTTTCGCAGATACATTGCAATGCGCATTTTTAAATCCTAACTTTCTTTTGTAATGATCTAACTCTTTTGGATCTTGAAAAGGTTCCATAAGAGCTATAAAATTATATTTATGACGCCTATTTAGACCCATTAATCTCTCAAAAGCCTTTTGAGATTTAACCTATCTAATGTTCCAAAATATAGCTTTTCCAATCATTGGAAACTATCTTCCGACGATCTCTGTTTACTACTCCTTGTTTTGACTTGAAGTGGAACTGTATTCTGACTTGACTTCGATCGTTTAGCTCCACTCTCCAATAATTTTATTGTCTTGGAGATAAATCCCCATCCCTTACCACCTTATCAATATTTTCATCAAAATCACCGTCTTCCTCCTTATCCCTTCTTTTTTGAATTTCCTCCGATGTCAGCTCTTGCAAATCAGGAAAATCATCCCCCTGAATCTGATTCTCCCTCCTCTGATTCTCAGGCAAAACCTCATCGTTATCCTGCACCTCATGAAATTCCACCATCTCCAAACATGTATTCCCCATATTACTACTTCTGGCATCCTATTCACTGCATTTTTGTTTCCCGCTTACCTCAATGTTTCCACTATTCTTGAAGCTTTCACTCCCTGCCGTCTCCTCTTCATCTGCATTGTTTGTATTCTCCATTGTATTTTCCAAACTATTCCCCTTATCTATTCTGCTTGTGTTTTGGAACACTTCCTCAACCCATTTTTTCGTCTCTACCTCCTCCCCCCTTTCCTTTTGTCCACCTTGTGTCTCCCCACATTCATCTTGATCTTTCAGCCCCCCAAACTTATTGCCAATCGTAATTCCCTCTTTCTCGTGTTGAATATTTTTCTTATGCCATATTTGTTCTGGTTTTCCACCCCCCTGTCGACCCCCTCCTGCTCTCCTTCTATTAGTATGAATCTTAAATTCCTCACTTTCTTTTCCTAAATTATTACCCTCCCTCTGGACTCTCCCCTTCCCCTGAATCTCCCTTTCTTCCTCCCCCGTTTCCATCTCTTCTTCCTTCCCTACTTTTTCCTTGGGATATAAATCCGGATGTAACACATAACATTGCTCCTCGTCATGACACTGAATCTTACAGTTCTTGCAATATTTTGGAACATGATCATATCTTATTGTAATCCATTTCTCCGTAATCTCCCCTGATTGCTTTCGCATCCCTAGGTTTATTCTTTTTGGAAATTCACGTAATAAATCCACCTTCACCCGTGCACAACTAGGTCGAGTCTGATTCCTTGTTGCTAGATCAACCTGTAAAGGTTGTCCAACTGCAGTTGCTAATGAAAAAAATTGCCTCCTTCACAAAGAAATTTGGAGGCAGGGATGGAAAAGAAATCCATGCCATGGCCGTTGATGTTTCCTCCTCCAGATCAAACATTGGCTCCCACTTCAACATTCGCATTGGATATGTCCACCCACGATGCAATATGTAAAAGACCGGCTTTGATAATAGATTCACGTAGTCCTCCAAGCATGATGCCCTTATCAGAATATGCCTATTGCTTAACAATCCTATGTTGCATTCACCTTTCAACTCGCATTGCTTCGAAATTAATTTTCTCAAATCTTGAATCTCAGGCCAACCATAGGAAAATTTTCCTATCACTGCATACTCTAAGAAAATAAAATTTATAAATTAATCAAATCTTTATATGGTCTAGAACAAGCTCTCAAGCAATGCAATGAAATTTCTAAGGTTGTAGATATAAATCTCCCTGCTATTATGTTAGAGCATATACACAAGACTATTACTGTCAAGGATGGCAAACACAAAATGGGATGTGGCTACCTACTGACATAAGTGTTTAATCATTTTGTTTTTCCTCTTGGCAAAAGGATTAAAGGAACTGTTAAATAGACTATTTCTCTGACCACACTTGTTGAATGTGAGTGTGTAGAAGAAAGGCAGGGGCGGCTCTAAGGCTTGACCAGTGAGGCCATTGCCTTAGGTCTCAAAAATTTGAAGGCCCCAAATTCGTTTAGATTCTTATTATTAAATTTATTATATACTAATATAATTTATATAAATAAAATTATTATTGTATATTTTTTATTATTATTTGTTTGAGAGTATTTTTTACCAATAAGTTCATAAATTCTCATAATCTTCACTCATTATTTGATATATTTATTTTAACTTTCAATTTTAAATTTTATCCTTTTTATATAGGAACTAAGTTATATATATTGATAACATAATGATTTTTTTCAATCTTTTCTTGAACTACGTGAACACAAAAATATTCATGCACAAGTTTCCTTTTCGTTTTAATTTAATATATTATATGAAAATTTTAAAATTTGTTTTAGATATTCACCAGCCACCTAATGGAATGAATTATATTATTTAAAAAGAATTTTATCATTTAAATTGATCAGAAATTTGGATATTTTTATTACTATCCATGCTCAAAACTTCAACTATTAAGTTATGTATGTTTTGTTCTTTTTCTTTTTTGTGATGATAGCCAAATTAAAATTTCAATTTGAGTTTTGTAGCTTAACATCGATAATCCATCAACATTTATTTTTTGTACTCTTCTTCTTCTTTTTTCTTTTTTTGTGTGAAATTTGATATTTTTTGTTTCAAATGATTAATCTATTGCGTAGAAAATTGATTTTCTTGTTAGTGTATAAATTTTATAAAATACATTAAGGGCCTCTTAATATAATTTTGCCTTGAGCCACGCAATCTATTGAGCCGCCCCTGAAGAAAGGTCAGGTAACAAGAGAAAATCTTAGGTGTCCAAATTGCTGGAGTAACACGAAAAATTGAAGCATGAGTTAGAAGAAATGACAGTAACACTGGCAAATAGGGATACAAAAATTGCTTGCATAAATGCTCAGTTGTTGAAAGTCAAAGCAGAGGGACCATGACCAGATGAACTAGCTGATTTGAAAATTAAAAATGAGAGTTTGAATGTTCAAGTTGCTAAGCTAAAAGATATGTTACTGAAAACTCATGTTGAGGCGGATGTTCGAATGACCCTATTTCTTCAATCCCTCACTCCCAAGCCTCCTTCCTCCTAAACTCCTCTGTTTCTCCCTTTCTTGCTTTTTGTTGATCATTTCAGTTGGCACTGTCCAGTTCTTCTTGTAATTTTCATGCAATATTTGAAATGTTAATATTCTATTTTAATTGAATGGTTTCGCCTTATGTCTACTGACCTCTCTTATCTCTTTTTATGCATTACTAATTCGCTCGGTGTTTCCCATGTGACCATTAATTTTTCTGAACTGCATATTTGCTTTACTTGTTTTACTACTTTATTTTTTATGATGTCAAAAGGGGGAAGATTGTGGTGTTAATGAGTATGAGATCTATCAAGTTGTGCATGAGGACCTGGACATTTGGTCATGTTGATAGGGAACATGTTGAGTATAATTTGTCATCATCAAAAAAAAAAGGGATTGTATTATGAAGTTTTGATGGTTTAACAAATTGTAGGATATAATCAGAGGCGAATTTAAGGGTAAAAAATGGGTCACTTGAACCCGTGGTCATTCGACAAAATTCGGTGTATTATTTGTATAGTTTTTAAAATATAGTAAATATTAAATAAATGAACCCATGATCACAAATGGTTGGATGGCTCACTGGTTCAAGGGTTGGTTTTTGATTGTGAGGTTGAGGGTTCGATTCCAAGAGAGGACCTCTTTTTAAAATCAATTAAAAAGCACCATTGTTTGTTATTTCTTTGAAAAAATTTCATTTTCTTTTTATAAAGTGTACTTTTTAAATTTCTTGAGATGCGAAATTGCATATTTTTTTTTTCATAAATGGTTTCTTTAAATAATTCTTTTTCAATCAATAATTCATATAAAAAATGCATTTTATTTTTCTTGTGACATAATACTCGAGATTTATCAAACTTTTAATAATTTTTTCCTTTAATAATATTTTTCCCAAAAATTGTATTTAATAGTTTTCTTATGAAAAACCTATAATCTATTATTGCTAAATTAAATGAGGCCCTCAAATTTGTGAGCCTAAAATGATTGCCTTTTTCTTAAAGGGCAGAATCTTCCTGACAATGGTGCACCCGTCTTTTTAAAATCCTGAATTTGCCTCTGGATATAATATGGGGCCTAATCCCATGAGAGACTGAGAGTTCAATTATGTGAAAATGATAGTTATAAAAAGCAGCAGCCACAACTTTAGAAGTTGGTGCGTCTCTACATGGCATAAGTACTCTCAGCCAATTGTGTTGTACCAGGTTACTCACTCATCCAGTCATTGGGACAAGTGACATAATCTAGATTTTGCATTAGAAGGATTTCAGAGAAAAAGTCATATGCTCGAAGGAATATTTTCTCACATCCAACAAGGGACATGATAGAGTTATGTTCCATCTTTAGTTGTTATTTGAGAATATTATTCAGTGCTTATTCAGTGTAACATCTGTTCCTATGTTACAAAGGAATCAGATCATCTAAAGTTTTTTTCATTGTTTGAATCCGAGTATAGCTAGAGTTAGCTATGTCGGGATCTTGAATTTTATATCGACTGAGTAGTTGGTATATATAGTGGGCAATAGAGGTATTGCTTAGTTTTAGGGATAAGAGTCTGAAAAATACCTCAACTTTAATCGGATTTGTTATTGCGATACTAAACTTTCGTAAGGACCTATTACCACCCTAGACTATTTATTACCGTATTTTTTACCCCTGAACTATTTAATAGTGTATTTTAAATGCATATATGTGCCCACGTGGACATATTATTATTTATAATTTTGCATTATTTTTATGTCCACGTGGGCAAATATATATGTTTAAAATACGGTATTAAATAGTCTAGGGAAGACATAGGTCCTCATGAAAGTTTAGTATCGCAACAGCAAATCCGACCAAAGTTGGATATTTTTCAAACCCTTATCCCTTAGTTTTATGAGGGAAGAGATTAAGCGTTTCATTCCTAGATTGCATGAGTTTTGTAATCTGAATCTTGATTCATTGAAGTTAATGGAGTTGTATTGAAATCGTGTGAGAGAGGTCATGATTTTCTCCTCTCTTGAGCAAGAGGGTTTCTACATAAAACACATATTAATCATCAAGATAGAATATAATTTTTCATGTGAATGTAACCATTTAAAAGTTATGTTGTATACACATGAATCATGATTAATTATACGATATATATTATATTAATCGAATTAAAAAATAAAATACCAAGTTTTCCAATATTTTTATTGTCCGTACATATAGTGGTACAATATGAGAGGTAACTAAACCTCCTCTTTGGCGTCCATTTCTCTCTTCCATCCCCCATCAACCACTCTCTTCTTCATCATTCAATATACCTCATATTCACCAAACATACATGAAAAAAATATTAGAAAAAGAAATTGTGATCAGATTTCTGGGGTTTTACTTAATTCTGTTGACCCTCTAGAGGTCTGATCTATTATAACATACTTATTTCTCCTTTTCTAACACCAAAAAAAAAAAAAAAAAGATACATACTTCCCAAAAATGATTCGTTGTAGCAATTGTTTCATCACATTGCTTAATTTTATCACGTTGGTGGCTTCAGCAATGTTGATATTGATGTCAATGTCGTTTGGTAATAACACGAACCCGTCTACGTGCCAGAAAGTTATTCAATATCCGATGTTGATATTAGGGGTAGTCCTTTTGGTAATTTCTTTGATGGGAATTGTAGGGGCGGCGTGCCACGTATCATTTTTGTTGTGGATATATTTGTTCATGTTGTTCTGTATCATTACAGGGATGATTATTTACTCTTTGTTCAACCTGTTTTTCACATTGTCACATCTAGAAAATAGAAGCCATGAAAAAGGTGAATGGGAAGATAAGTTTCAAGAATATTCACAATGGATGAAAAATGTTGTGCCTGATGAAAAACAATGGGATAAGATTAAGAGTTGTATGATTGATGCTAAAATGTGTAAATACATTCCCGCAGACAGAACTGAGGATTATTACAAAAATAAGCTCCCCAAGATTCAGGTTTGCTATTTATTTTATCATTATATATCTAATTGTTACGTAACGGTGGACATGGTTGGTTTTTGTGAATTAACTACAAGGATAGTTCTCTTAGAAAATCACTCAACTTTGTTTTATAATACAACTATTAGTGTTTCACTGAGAAAGTCATCCAATCCAATATTGCAAAACATGCAGAAAGAGAATATGAAAACTCTGATTGGTTGGGTGATAAATATCAATAGTTGTGTGACTTTTAGATTATAAATTAAACAAAATTGAATGACTTTATAAAAATAACTATCCTTAGTTTTATGATTATATGAGATATTTTTTGAAAAATGTTAGAGGTGAAGTGTGCTCAAACTTAGGTACTTTTTACTAAAACTAAAGGTTGTTATGGTTGGTGAGAGATGCATATTTTTTAGTACTACCTATGTTTCAAAAAGAATGACTTTCCTTTTTTAGTTACAGTTTAATTTCTTCATGTGGCATATTTAAGGAAACAAGTTTAAATGTCAAAAAGAAAGTCTTTAGTATTATCTTTTAAAACTCTGTGTCAAGTCAAATTAAGTCAAGACTGATGGAGTAATATGTATGGAAGTTACTAGTTCTATATATATAACATATTTACACAATCATGTCACTGTTTGTTCAGTCTGGTTGTTGCATACCACCGGCGTACTGCCACTTCCAGTTCCAAAATGCATCAACTTGGATAGTGCCGAAAGCAGGGGCAGTAGAGGGAGATGCTGACTGCAAGGCATGGAGCAACGAACAAAATGTTATGTGCTACAACTGCAATTTATGCAAGAAAACTGTCTTTGACAGTATCAAAGAATATGCCGGACATACCTCTCTTATAAGCCTTATCATCTTCATTATTCTCTCCATTATTTACTCTATTGGCTGTTGTGCTCTTACGAATAACAGTTACAGAGAAAGGGCATACGGCTACCATGGCTACAGACCGTATGGTCCTGGACCTTACGGTTAGCCATGATCCATATATCATATACTACAATTTTTGGATTCATTCCATCGCTTATTGAAAAGCTTCCGTATAGATTAGTAAAATACTTAGTTGCACAAACTCTTCACTTTTCTTCAGGAGAGAAATCTGACATGCACTTATTGACATTTTTGATGAGTCTGAGCAACATAGGTATCTTGTCTATTGTGGACTCACAGTTTCTTGTTATAATATTTATATCACTTTAACTAGATTAAAATATATACAGACTTCATTAGCTGTGTTGGGCTGTTTGGTTTTTCTTGGTATGTCAAGAATTTTATATCATTGTATAATTTGTAATACTAGTACGTACTGAAGTGAAAATAATAAGCATACTTCAAGAGTCTCACATTGAAAGTACTATTGCAAAAGTGACTCTTGATGTTGTTAGAATTATGCTTTTGCATTAGAGTAATTTTTTTTATTGCTTTAGTTTTTGAATAATTCCTAGTTAAAATTGGTTAGCTAGTTTTTTTTATTTATTAGTAGTAATTAGTTTGTTAAGATATTTGCAGAGAGAGATATTCTAGGCTAGTTTATTACTATCTCTTTACTGTTTTTCTTCTTATTAATGTAAAGTTCAAGAAAACAAAATAATGATTCTCTTTGACCACATTGCAGTATATTTTCTAGTTATTCTTTCTCTGTTATTTTTTAATTTCTTTATTAAAAAACAACAGTTTTATTTAATTAACATCTTCAGTCACATGCATTGAAAATGACAAAATATTATTCCTCCATCTTTATTTATGTGATGTTGTTTAACTTGATACTAAATTTAAAAAATAAAAAAAACTTCTTAAACTTGTGATCTAAAATAAGTTATAGATGTTTGTGTGATTTTAAATTATCTGAACAATTTAAAGTTAGATTATTACTAAATATAAAAATGTGCCATTATTTTGATATTTGACTAAAAAAAAAGTGTACCAAATCAATTTGGACAGAGAGTAATATATACTCATTCAATCATTCAACTAGCTAGTATTAGATGCTATTTTGTCCATTATCTATGATGTTTACAGAATGGTACATATGATGACACAACAATATTTTGAACATGTTTTAATAATTGAAAGAGTTGGTTTGGTCCTTGTGGAATCAAACTCAATGGAAGATGAATTAATAAGATTTGGTAGGAAGATAACTAGTACAAAATAAAAGTCAAAGATAGTATTTTGGTAGGTGAAATTTAGGTAAACCATAAAATGGTTTCACATATTAAACCTTGACATTTTTGACACATAGTGATGTCATGCTGACATCAATAGGAATAATTCCTTCCTATAAATAGGTAGCTCTTAATTCATTTTCAAAACATCATCTCACTTGCCTTCTCACCTTCTAAGGCATTTGATGTTCTCTCTTGTAATATTTCACTTGTATTCTTTGTAGAGTGAAATAAATATTGGTGCAGTTGTTCTTTGGTGGACGTACGATCATTTTGATCCGAACCACGTTAAATATTATTGTTCTTCCTTGTTCTTTAATTTCACATTTCCGCTAACAATCGGTATCAGATCCAAGGTTCTGTCTGAGTATGCTCAGTGGTTGCAGCATAGTCTGAACTTCCACATCAGAAAAAAATTACTTTGATTTTCTGTAGTTCCAAATACATTGTAGTAGAAGAGGAAGAACAAGTAACGATGAGTTCCATGAAGTTTGAAATTGATAGATTTAGCGGGCGCAACAACTTCAATATCTGGAAGATCCAGATGATGGTGTTACTGCAGAGGGAAGGTTCAATCCATATGAGTATGAGCAAGCCTATAAGTACACCGTTAGCTTCTCATTTCAAGCTTTCAGAGTTACAAATGCATCAGTCTATGGATGAGGTGGAGCATATGTCAAAGGTTCCTTATGCAAGTGCAGTTGGTAGCATTATGTATGTTATGGTGTGCACATGTCCATATATTCCTCAATCTGTAAGTGTGGTAAGTGTGGTAAGCAGGTGCATGGCAAATCTAGGAAAAAGGCATTGGGAAGTTATGAAGTGGATATTGAGATATCTCAAAGGAGCTCTTGATGTTGGCCTAACCTTCCGAAAAAGTGAAGGTATTTCAGTTCTCGGTTATATAGTTTCTGACTATGTAGGGGATCTTGATAGAAGGAGGTCCACAACTGGATACATCTTTACTCTCATTGGCAGTGTCGTTAGTTGGAAATCGACTTTATAGTCGATTGTCGCTTTGTCTACAACAAAGGCATAATATATGGCAGCAACGGAGGTAGTGAAATAAGCTATATGGTTGAAAGGTTCGGTGGTAGAATTGAGTTTGGTTAACTCTAAGATGTGATAGTCAAAGTGTCATTCATTTGATTAAAAATCAAAGATATCATGAGCGCACCAAACACGTTGATGTCAGATTCCATTTTATTCTAGATGTCGTAGAAGAGGGAGCTAATCAAGGTTGAGAAGGTTATCACAAACGATAACGCTGCAGACATGTTGACCAGGATAGTCCCGCTTGCCAAGTTTGCACACTGCAAGGACTTGGCGGGAGTATACATCAAGTGATGCAACTTTGGGGAACAACTGCTAGGTGGAGCTAGTATGTTCAACAAAGGTTTGATTCTTCTTGTTTCTTACAATGGGATTTCCCAATAAGCTTAGAAGTTTTGGCCGAAGTTGTTTATACGCATGCTCGGAACGCAAACCAAGGTGGAGATTGAAAGAGTTGGTTTGGTCCTTGTGGAATCAAACTCAATGGAAAATGAATTAATATGAAGATTTGGTAGGAAGATAATTAGTACAAAATAAAAGTCAAAGATAGTATCTCGGTAGGTGAAATTTAGGTAACCATAAAATGGTTTCACATATTTAACCTTGACATTTTTGAGACATAGTGATGTCATGGATAACATCAATAGGAATAATTCATCCTATAAATAGGTAGCTCTTAATTCATTTTCAAAACATCCTCTCACTTGCCTTCTCACCTTCTAGGGCATTTGATGTTCTCTTCTTGTAGTATTTTACTTGTATTCTTTGTAGAGTGAAATACATATTAGTGCAGTTGTTCTTTAGTGGACGTAGGATCATTTTGATCGGAACCACATTAAATATTGTTGTTCTTCCTTGTTCTTTAATTTCACATTTTCGCTAACAATAACAAAGTGGACCAGATTCTTAAGATAGATAATGAGCATAATGAGAAGATCAGCTTTTGTAATCATAAAATGAGGTTTTTTTAGTAAGAGTAGAGATGGCGCGAAGAGAGCAGAAGAAAAAGAACTAGAGTTAGGTTTTCTTTCTAAAGCTAAGTTGTAGTTTATTTCAACCTAAAATCATTATTGAGTGCTAATTGCTCTAAGTGTAAAAGTGTGCTTGTGAGGCTTGTAACAATAAGTAAGTTTGACTTCTTAGAGAGTAGAGTTAGCAATTATAGTTAATTGTTAGAGTTGAGGTATTAAAATTAGCCCATTTGATTATTGAGTTGTAATTGAAAATTGCTCTTTGAAGTTTAGTGAGAAGTTGTTGAAATCCTACACGTTGTAGGTCATAGTTTTTCTTTCCTTCAGTAAGGAGGCTTTTCACGATAAATCACCTTGTTGTTCTATTACGTCATTATTTCCGCTATTACTACAAGAACCTGGTTCTTCTATTTGTTAGGTTGTTGCGGTTTCTTTTCAATTGGTATCAAAGTAGGTCTTTTTACTTAATAGGTCCAAACCTTGAAACAGATTAATGGTTGCACCACTTACTGCATAAGGAGCGTCACAGACAAGACCATCACTATTCAATGGAAAGTATTATAGATGGTGGATGGACATGATGATGGATCATCTGTAGAAAATCTAGATCGTTGGAGTGTCACTCTAGATGATCCTACTATTAACAGTTGGGACAACTAAACTGCCCAAGGAGAGAAAGGAATGAGATACTACTGACAAGCTGACAATTCATAAACATGAAAGGCGAAGAAAATCTTGATCTACAGAATAGGTCTAGATGAGTATAATAAAATTTCAGCATGTCCGGACCAAAAAGTGATATGGGACACATTGCAAACAACTCATGAGGGTACAAGTTAGGTCAAGAAATCTGAATTTGATAATCTGAATAGGCAGTATGAGCTGTTCAGAATGATGAAAGGCGAGATAATTCAAGACATGTAGACCAGATTCACTTCCATCATTAATGAAATCTACTCATTTGGAGAGGTGATCCCCATTGGAAAGGTTATCAGAAAACTTTTGAGTGTTCTTCCTGAATTATGGAAAAGTAAAGTTGAACCAATTATTGAAGTATGTGACCTGGACATTATAATGATGGATGAACTTATTGGAAATCTCATTATCTATGAGATAACAAGAATCAAGAAAAGGAGATAGAAGGAAAGAGGAAATATAAGAACTGGTCCTCAAAGAAACTAAAAAGAATGACATCAAGGAAGAGAATAATGTGATAATGACAAAGAGGTTCCAAAGAACGTTGAAAAGAGCACAGGCAAATCAAAGGAAAAATCGTTAGAAGATAACCGACAATGTCATCAGAGAACAACCATGCCACAAGTATGGAAGCCCAGATCATTTAATCAAATTATGTGCCTTGTGGACTCTAGAGTACAAAAGGAACAATCCAAAAAAGGCAAAAGAGACTAGAAACGATCAGTACATCCTACAAATTGAAGATTTGACCAATCAAGAGGATGTTTTATATGTGAAAAAGGCTTTTGCAACTATGGAAAATTCATCTGGTGATGAATCTGATGGGAAGACATGAAAACTAGTCCTTTCTTGGCAATAGAAGAAACAAGGAAGTATGAATTTCTTGCACCGATAGAAATAACTGAGTGAGATGATGAAGAGAACCTTTGTCAGTACAAAGAAACAATCATGGCACTGATGGTTGGAACAAATTCAGATGAAGATGACAAGTTGTCCAAGGTAAGTTTTCATTAAATTAAATAAAATCTTCATATTTATTCAAGGAAGAAAATAGAATCTTTATTTTGTACTCTCATAGATGGATCACTCAACATGTGTTGAAAAGGT